GCGAGGGGAGGAGGGGGGGGGGTGTCGTCTGTGCCCGCCCCCCGGGGGGGGCGGCGGCGGCGGCGGCCGATTAGGAGGCGATTTTTTGGCATCGGAGAAGTGGCGGACGTTGGAGAAAAGTAGGACGCGAAGCCTTGAGGATATGGTGGAGTAGGGAAGATGATACGGTTTCGGGAGAGGAGAGGGAGAGAAATAATGGGATGCATGGAGGACATGACAAAGGGTTCGCCGGAGCAGAGCATTGTTCATGGCTTGTCGTTAGCCGGACTGAATGACCACGTAGGGTTTAACCTCAAAAAACGAAGAAAGCGAGAGCCGGCCATAAAGTTGGGCCAAGGTCAGTGGGCCGCCGGCCTGTGGGCTTGATTCTTGTAAGTGTCATGCGTACTTGGAACAGTAACAGTTGTTTTGTTTTAAGAAAGGTCGTCAGCCATCTCATTTTAAGACTAAAAAATCAGCCCTAAATACCTTGAATGCATTAATTAATATACATGAAAATTTACATTATGTTGGAGAAGGGAAATCTGATGAAATAAAACGAGAGTGAAAGATCATAGAAGGATTCCTCAAGAAAGGCCAAAATACTGAATTATTTATTAAATAATTATGAGACATAATTAATGTGAAAATCTACTCCCTGGTCTAGTAAACTATAAATTCTTCCATAATTTTTATGGGATTGCTAGTTATTGATGGTGATAGAAGCCATTCAAAGAGAATAATATCTTGTGTGGCCAGAGAAAATGAAAACTCTGCTATAGTTAATAAATACATAAAAAATAATATATACTTAATAATTAACATGGGCAAGAGATTGACAATTGTCATCAACTATGTCATCAAGTGGTTGATGTTGTATATCTCAAATGGGTCTTTCCAGACGGAGTCGGGAAACTGGCCTAGATTGAAGGACCATTTGAGTGGTTTAAACTCATCTAACTCAGAGGTACTCATAAAGCATAAGGACACTATTCTAGATCAAAAAAGATAACCTAGCTCAAAGAAACTTGTATATCTTAAAAAAACTCACCCATTTAAGAGACTCGCCTAGTTCAAAGCCTCTTACCTTAGTCTAGAAGCCACTCACCAACACAAAAGGCCCTCGCTCGGATTTCAGAAAAAACTTAGTAACTCTATCTATTAAGACATACAATTTTACTCTTTTATTCGACAACCTCTTCGGTTAGGCTATAAAAGCTTTCAGGGCACTCATCGAGATAGTGGTCCATATAAGATACTAATTAATATGTCTTTATATCTATGAAAATATATTCATCCATTTAGTTATTCATCATTGTCGTATTAATTATTTATGATACCCTAAAATCTTAAAAATGATAGGTCTGAGAGGGCATTTTAACATATGAAATCTACAACAATCTTAGTATTTAATTCGTGGGGAAATGTGATTTTTTTGATATTTATATTATATCGTAAATTCAATTTCTTCTTTTTGCTTCTCTTTCCCTTGATTTGATCGAGAACTTGAAATTAAATAAACAAAATATATGTGCCACCACATTCAAATTTGAATTCAACCTCTGATTGGGTATGATGAAAATAAATTAATGTTAAGAACCAAAAACTATACATCGCCATCAATGAATCACCTTGATAGAAAGCATCCCTATATAAGAAAAATCAAAATTTTATAACTAATAGATTGTTTATAGAAATGGATGAGAGAATCAAACAAAAGATCAAACATCAAAGATCTAAATCGATTGTTTATAGATTGTTTATAGATTCTCTTAAAAGTTAAATAGGTGATATGTGACTTTATAGTGAGATTTTAGAGAGAAATGTTAAAATTCAAAGATCTAAATCGACAATCACTAAAATTGCCCTCTCTAATGCTTGTTAGAAAAGCCATTTTGATATTCACTTGGGTTTTAATAGACCAAAGTCTTATTGAGCTACTAAAACTTACCAATAATCATTGATTGCTAAAGGGACTCCCCAATAAGAACAAACTTCCATAGAGCTATTAATGATGATAGAAGGCGATCCCAAATTTAAAGAGCAAAGAAGCGGTTGCACTTTCAAAATCATTCATATCATTAAGGGATAATTTTGGTTTAATTTTATAAGGGAATTACACATTTTCCTCTTCAACCTACCCTTAAACTTGAGGATCTAGTCCAAAGAATTTCTTAGATGACTTCGCCAAAAAATTAGTAAATCGTTGAACTTAAACTTAGAGTCAAATAGATGTCTCCCCTCCTTAATTCAGGATGAACTTAATTTGGTCTTTAATTCATTCTATTGAAGTTAAGTTGGTTATGACTAAATCATTAAGAGTCAAACATCATTATAAGACCCAAGATACCCTTGAGTACCCTTAAGACACTTGAACCTTGGAATCCAATTCAAAACATTAATTTCTTTCCTAGGAGCCTCTAGACCCACTTTGACTCACCCTGTGATCCGAACTTATTAGTTCAACCCATTTAATCTAAACTGCCCATAATCACAGTGTAAGACCCGACAATCAAACCAAATCAGTTTTCCTACTCAATGCTTTGGTTCCAAAATGAACTCAACTAGTTCTTAGATTATTAAGAACCATACTTATGTTAGATGGGAATCTACTAAACCTAACCCTATAGACCACCATAGAATCCCTTAAAAATCTTTCCAAAGGAAAAGATTAAGATAAAATTAAATTAAAATAAATTTAAAATAAAAATAAAATAAAACTCAAAGCTAAACCGAACATAAACTTAAACTTAAATTAGGCTTAAGAAATCTAAAAATAAAGTACTGATATGCCTAAAAATGTACTATTTTTCATGCTATATTTTATAATAATATTGCATTTTCAAGGTATGTTTTCTTGTGTTTTTGGTTGTAGGTACATCAAATTGAAGGATTTGGAGTGATTGGAGCAAAAGAAACTAAAATGGATTAAAACAGAGCAAATCGGAGCAAATCAGATCGAATCGGGGCACACCAAAGCCATGGGGGCCGAAAACAGGGACTTAATGCCTGTGTCCGATGCTTAAGCGCCCAAAATCCGTACTTAAGCGCCAAAAATAGTTTTCAACATATCTTCTAGAATATACATCAGATTTGGATGATTTTTTAAGCGGTGCTTCGTGTGTCTCTTGGGAAATTCATTGAAAATGATAAATGAAACTTTCTAGAAGGATTTAGGGCGGTTATAAGGAGTTTTTAAGAGGCACTATTTGGAAGATTCATTGAATATGGACACTTTTGAAGGGACACTTAAGCATCTCTTCAAAAATTATAAATAAGGCTTGGAAATGTTTTTAAAATGACACTTGGACCCTTGAACTAATTGGAAGAGGAGAATTGGACTTGGAAAAGAAGAAGAAGCTTGGATGTGAGCCTCAAGTGGGGCGACAAGGTGAGAGAGAAAGAGAGAGAGTGAGAGATTTCTTCTTTTCTTTTCACTTTGTTCTTAGAGAGGATTGTGAGGAGATTGCTTTTGATATACAAGAAGAGTTTGATTTCCATAAAAGCTAATTATTTTCATTGTATTTTGTTTTGAATTTATTACCTTATTTGTATGGTTTCAAAGTCTTATTCAATGAAAAGTTCTTATTGTTTCTCCATGTGTAGTGAGTAGTATTTTTTACTCTTCCCTCTTACAATGAATTAGTATTCATGTGCAAGATAAAGAATTGAGTAGAGTGAGAATATATTGTGATGATTTTACTTTATTCTTCATGTACATGTAAACTTGATCAACTTGCATGTTAAAATCTGTTGTGAGAACATGTAAGATCTGTGATGGTGTTGTCTCAATCAATTGAGAAAGAATCACATGAGAATTGATTTCATGGATGAGAATGTAGTCCATATTGTTGAGTGCAAATAAATAGAAAAATAATCTTTGATGGGTGTAAAAATAGAGGACTTTAGAGTGATAGGCCAAAGCCCCTTAATTTGGTCTATTTTTTTCAATTTTGTTGCGAGATGTTAGCCTCCAATTGGAGAGATAAGAGGAAACTCTAGAGTGAGAGCTAATATCTTCCCTGCCTAGCCTATCTTCAGAACTATTCAAACTTTTAGATTAATCAATGTTCTTTATAGCATCTCTAGTAAGGGTAAAGAATATAATTGTTCCTATCTGTCACAATCACTTTCATTACTTATTTTACTTTTAAACATGTCACTAATTTCATTGCATGAGGAAGGGTACTTTTAATATATTAAACCCCACTATCTGATTTTCACTAAGTATTTTAGTTTAGGAGTAAAAGAAGTATTGTAGTGATAATTATATGATATAATCAAAACCAAAGCTTTATCTACCTTCCAAGCTTGGGCGTGTTATTATATACTAGAACTTCTCTTGTAAGCCGCCGTGATTAACCTCTATCTCCTTGGGATCGATATTCGGGCTTAATCAGAAAGTCCTATATTACTTGATAACAATACGTATACTTGCGTAGAATCCCTACTATTTAAAGATATAATTGAAATTTTACTTTTCATGGGATCAAGTACCACCAGACTTAAATAAATTAAAGAAACTTAAACTAAAGTTATATTAAAATTAAAACTAAAACTAAAAAAAATAATAAAAAAACTAAAACTAAAGTAAAGATGAAATAATACTAAAACAAATATAAAATTATTGATGATGACATTATAGAGTTAATAAGTGGATGTTGCAAGCAAATGTTGATGATTTATGTCAAACTATAATTATAAGCATTGAATAGAACGTTATCTACACTCTATCTCAACCCTTAAGTAGAATGTGTATCAAAATTGCATCCTAACTCCTTAGATTTATCAATATAGTCACTTAGAATTTTCAACTCATAGTGTATCTCCCCAAATAGGATTAAATTTTTAACACCACATAGATTTTTAAAGCTCTTATTTTGGTGTTCAGATATATTAAAAATGATATACTATCTTGAAAGGTTTAATAAT